GCTGAACCTGACCAGCAGCGGCTGAATCAGGGACGCCTGGGGCAGAGCCGGACTATCGTAAGGGGGGGGCTATGAGGGGCCTGGGGTGGCATCCCCTCCCACCCCACTCCAGACCCCTCATAGCCCCCCCTTCTGACAGTCCGGCATATCTGATAATCCGGCACCCCCTGGGTCCTAAAGGTGCCGGATTATCAGAAGTTTACTGTACTTACTAGCAGCCACACACTACACCTCAGATACACTCACCCAGGAACCTAAACCTGCAACAAACCCCATTGCAACCTTTGTCCACATATCTATACAAGTGATACCATCATAGGATCTAACCCGGGGTGGGCAAGAGGCTGCCAGGAGACCAGATGCCGCCGGCCAAGCCACCAGATCCTGCCCACAGCTGCCTTGCTGGGACCCTTAAGTACAGTGCAGTAGCAGCTGCTCTGAATGGAGCTGCTTTATTCTGGAAGCGAGGAGGGAGGCTTTGTGCTCTGTCCTGCCCCTCAGCAAAATCTCTCAGCACCCATTGGCCAGTTTCTGACCAATTGCAGCTGAGATTTTTGCTGGGGGTGGGTCAGCCAATAAAGCCTCCTCCTTCCCTCTCACAACTCCATCATCCTGCCAGAGCATAGCCACATGGAGCAGCTTCTTACTGCAGACTTCAGGTTCCTGCAGAACTGCTGACTGGCAGCTGCCTAGGTAAGTGCCTCCTAGCCACAGCCTGCCTCTGACACCCCTACTCTCTTCTCTCCACCTCCCCACAACTACCTGCTCCAGGCCACCACCCAAACTCTCTGTACCCTTTTCCTCAGGTCAGAACTCCCTCCCAGACCCTGCACTCTCTCCTACACCCCTCCCCCAGGGCAGAATCCTCTCCTGAACCCCCCCCCACTCCCTCCTGAACTCTGCACCCCAATCCTCTGCCCCAGATCCCAACCCTCTCTTTCACCCACACTCCCTTTCAGACTCTGCACCCAGTCTCCTGCCCCAAGCTCCCTTCTACATCCAACCTCTGTCCTAGACCCCAAGCCCTCTTGCCCCAAGCTCCCTTCTACATCCAACCTGTGTTCTAGACCCCAAGCCCTCACAGTAGATATGTGGCCCTCAACCACTGACCAAAATCTTACAGTGGCCCCCCATTAAAAATTATTGCCCACCCCTGACCTAATCTCACAAACCACAACAGCAGGAGCTCCTACAACTACACACTTTCTAATATAATATGTGCCAGCAATGCCCCTCTGTCATATATGTTGGCCAAACCAGTCAGTCTCTGTAATAAACGATTAATGGACACACAAATCAGACATGAGAAATGGTAAACACACCAGCCTCTAGGGGAACATTTTAACCTACCTGGACACTCAACCATGGATTTAAAAAATAGCAATTCTTCTATAAAAGAATTTTACATACCAATTACAAAGAGAGACTGATGAAGTGGAAGTAACTTACAAATTTGACACTGTCAACCTGGATTCAGTTATTTCCCATTCAACTCATCTGATCAAGTGGGTCTTACTTATGAAAGCTCATAATCCTTTACATTGCCTAAGATTTGGGTTCAACTTGAACTCCAAAAATCTTTAAAATGAAATTAAATTTGAGCACCTGGGGTATCATGTCAAAAACATATAGAGCCACCATTTCTGCATGATTTAGCTAGAAGCCAGGCTTGCTCTAAACTGAATCCAAGATCACTCAAAAACTTTATGAACCTTTGCAAACATTTGACAAACATGGTCTGAGTCTGAATTTGTGACTAAGCCTGAAACCAGACATACAGCGTTTTTTCTGAAAGTTTTTTCCCAAGTCTGTAGGCTATAAGGGTATTCTTGTTGGTAATTATGGCTACTTCCATTTGGCAAGCCATTCAATTGTCTGAGACCTTGAGGATTCTCTCAGCTCCTGATGCTGTGTTTACACCATACATTTTAGTTTCTATTGGAAAATGCAGCATCTTGTTCTACTGTCTAGGATTTTTTCACTAACCTTAAAAAGCAAATATGAAGATTTTCCTGCCTCCTCAAACTATCTATTTTTAGTAGTGACTGACAAACCTCAAAAGATTTGGAACTTGAGTTTGGTTCAGAAAGATGTCCGTATGCTCAGATGTTTACCAGAAGCATCTGAAACATTTAAATCTGCAAACTGGGCCATCTTGTTCTACTGTCTAGGATTTTTTCACTAACCTTAAAAAGCAAATATGAAGATTTTCCTGCCTCCTCAAACTATCTATTTTTAGTAGTGACTGACAAACCTCAAAAGATTTGGAACTTGAGTTTGGTTCAGAAAGATGTCCGTATGCTCAGATGTTTACCAGAAGCATCTGAAACATTTAAATCTGCAAACTGGGCTGTAACTTCTACAAGAAAGACTTACTGATTACAATTTCTTATGCTTCTTCTGGTTTCAAATCACATGCCACAAGATCAGGCCTGCCAATGAAGGTGGGGAAGGGAAAGTTGCCCCGGGACCTGGTGACTCAAAGGGGCCCAGAGCTCCCAGCTCCTGCCACTGTTGCTGCAGCTGTTACTGGAGTCCCAGACCCTTTAAATTGCAGCCACGGTGTTGCACCACACACTCTGGCCAACACTAAGGGCTGGGTGGAGGGAGCACATTGTGCTGTGGGCGGCACTAGGGGCTGCTTTGGGGCCAGCATTGTGCACTCAGGACTGGCTCTCCTGCACCTGGGAACCAGCTCCCCACACATCTTGCAGGCCCCTGCAGAGCCTGTTGGCACACCTGTACAAGATCACCTCTTCGTTACAGAGACCTAGCACTTCTAATTCTTCTGGATCCAGCCATAAGTTGAAAGCATGAGGTGGGGAGAAAGGGGAAGCCATTGTGAATGTGAAACAAAGCTTCCCTATAGTGCACAGAAAAGCATGCCAGAGATGTATGAAATATAAAGTTCACTAACATGCTAGATTCCAACTGCCCCATACAGACCCTGCTGACAGTCTCTAAAAGGTACCTCTCTCACGTTAAAATAGTTTGGACAGCATAAATGAGCATTAGGTACCTTTTAGAGAGCACCAGCAGGGCCTGCACAGGATAGTTGGGCTGTGTCTACACTGGCCACTTATTCCGGAAAATCAGCCGCTTTTCCGGAATAACTTGCCAGCTGTCTACACTGGCCCCTTGAATTTCCAGAAAAGCACTGACGATCTACTGTAAAATCATCAGTGCTTTTCCAGAAAAACTATGCTGCTCCCATTCGGGCAAAAGTCCTTTTCCGGAAAACTGTTCTGGAAAAGGGCCAGTGTAGACAGCACAGATTTCTTTTCCGCAAAAAAGCCCAGATCGCGAAAATGATGATCGGGGCTTTTTGCGGAAAAGCACGTCTACATTGGCGCAGACGCTTTTCCAGAAAAAGTGCTTTTCCAGAAAAGCATCCTGCCAATGTAGACGCGCTTTTCCGGAAATACGTTTAACAGAAAAACTGTTCTGTTTTAAGCATTTCCGGAAAAGGGTGCCAGTGTAGACGTAGCCTTAGAGATCACTTTACAAATCACACACCTCCTGTGAGCTTGGCCACCACCATCTAGACAAGCCCAAAGTTCCATTTCAAATTTAGGCATTAAAAAAAGACCAACGTTTGGGCCCACAGAATCACTAAACCAAGGATGGGGATCCTATAGACTGTGGGCTGGCCCCCCTCCTCCTCCAACACCCCCACCCACAGCGTAAGGAGCCAGCTGCAGGATCTGCCTAGCAGGAGCGGCTCTGCATGCAACAGGGAAGTGCTCCCTTTAGGCACTGGGCAATAGGAAGGGCAGGGGCAGTGCCTGCAGTGTGTAGACCCACACAGAGCCACCTGTGTACCTCCTGGGAGCTGCACCATGTAGGAGACCCAACCCCATACTCCTTGCCACACCCATCCTCCCACCCAGACCCTGCACCCCACCCTTGCCTACTCCTATACTGAACCTCTCATTTTTTACTCTATAGTCTAGGGATGCCTCACAAAATCTACTAGGCCCCAGAAGAGTTAATCTGGTTCTGGGGGTAAAACACTGAGCCTCAGCACCTCCTCCCCCCTCCCCGGCACTGGAGCTGAAGGGGCGCAAAGTGAGCAGGTTTTTTTTTTTCCTGTTGCTCATTTGGGGGCCACGTCAGTGAGGGTCGGGGATTTTTTGCGCTTCTCACTTGTGTGTGGCCCCCAATGAATTTTCTGTGTGTTAGTGGTCTAGGACCAAAAAGGCTCACCCATCCCTGCCTCATTCCTCATTTTCAGTCAAATCAATGTTTGTTAACCTTCATTTTTATTACAACATATTGACAAGCACATGGGATCACTGATGGTCCAGCTAGGGTTGCCAGATGGTTGAACCAAAAATACCAAACCCCCCACCTCCAACTAAAAAAATACTGGGGAAAAAATTCTGTTGAGGAAAAAAGGTGGTGGGGGGGGAGAGACTAAAGTTATTGAGCAAAAAAATGAAATAATAAAACAGCATGGCCCCTTTCAGAGTGAGTGCAGAGTTAGAATAGAGACAGGAAAAGGAGAGTAGTTGAGCACTAAGACCCAGGGAAGGCATTGCTTCCCCTTGGTCTTTAGGCTTTTTGCCAGCAGCCATTTTGTGTTCTTGTTCAAGCCAGAACTTAGCTTCCCTGTGGAACCAGGGAAGCTCCGGTATTTCCGCCTCCTGGCCGGGGAAAAACAAACAAAAAAAAAAATCAGAAAATACCAGACATTTCAGGGGTCTGTTATTTTCTGATTTTTTTAACTGGACAGGAGGTGAAGATACCTGACTGTCCGGGTCAATACTGGACACCTGGCAAACCTAGGTCCAGCTGAAACATGGAGGTAAAATTACTCTATATAGAAGGGGTCTCAAACTGCCAGCCCGCAGGCCTTCCCTGGCCAAAGCAATTGCATAATTTGGACCAAGAGTCCCAGCAGGCGGGGGGGGGGAGCTGGCTGTTAACCAAGCCCAAGCCCCTACTGCCACCACCCAGCCCTCTCAGTCCAATGCCCCCTGAGGATGCAGTAGCAACAGTCGGGCCCACTAAGTGCACTCCGCTTCCCCAGGCTCCTCAGACACTAGTCAGTAGGGGTCGCAGGGCCCCCCCTCTGTGATCCCCAAAGCTGTGTCCTCAGGGGACACCATGCCATGTGGGGGAGAGGGCAGGGCAATGGCAAAAAAGGGCAGTACTTGGGGAACAGTAATGGATAGTTAACCCCCAGCCCATTAGGACTCTTATGCCAGATTGCTCAATTGCTCTGATTGGGGATAGACCATGGGTCAGCCATTTGAGACCCCAGTTCTAGAGTGACAGCATATCCAAATGCCACCAAAAAGTTAAAGTATTATAATCCATTCTATTTGTATTTGCATATTAGAGTTCATAACTTCTTTCCTTCACTGGCTGCCTCCTACCCACACAGCTCACTCTGGTTTTGTCCTAAAAGATGCTCTCAACATTTCACAGAAGACAACAGAAACTAAAAGGTGTAGATGACTATGCAAGGCAGGACTCCCAGACAGCAAGAGTCAGTTTGCCTTCAGCTCAAGAAAACATTGTTCCATAACATCTGCTTCCAAAGAGGAAAAAGACAGCTCTGGCTTGTTCCGTGAACACTTCAATTTTTCTCTCATGACCCTTTTAGGTAACTTCCATGTGGTTTAGTAATTTGAGTGCTGGTTTTAATTACGTCAATCTACACATTTGAAAACCACAGAGACATTTCTTCTAAAAACCAGCTGACGCACAAAGGGGAAAGGATTAACATATTATCAGAAGATGTGACTACTTGCTGAGACAAATCAAGCATTTTACAAACTTTCTTCTAATGCCTATGAGCCTCCAGAATCTAAAAAGGAAGGTATGTATTTTAAATGCTTTTTATACATTTTAATCTGTACAGCTACATCAAGGTAAATCTATTGCATAAAATACTTAATACAGCAAAGGCACTGAAAACCTAACAGGTTAAATATTTAAAAGTACTAACAGTTTTCACTGTACATAGTAAGTGTTACTTCATGATCTCCATTTTGAATATCTTGCCTTTGGAGACCCTCCTTTCACATGAAAAAAAGGCTTTAGTGGGGCAGTTTCTGAGCAAAGAGCACTGGATACAGCTTATTCACAAGCTTCTCTGAAATCAAACAAAATACTCATCGTGGAATGACATTTTGAATTCACTTTCATATTGGGAGTGTGTCTCCTACCTTCTGTTAGCTCAGGAACAAGCCAACCATTTCCTCTGTTCCTTGTGGGCAGTCAACTTGGTTTGGCCTCAGTTTAATACTCTCTTTTTTTTGGGGGGGGGGGAGTGCAACATCCTCCATTTGCTGAAGGATGATTATCATCATGTTATAGATCTTATTTCTTGCCACTCAGTAGCTTCAAGTAGTTGCATTTATACACACACGCAACACACTGTGTCAATATAACTTAATTATTTGGTCTTACTGTCGATTGTTACTACTCACGTAACATTTAACCTAGAATTATATTTGATCACTAAAATAAACAGAATTTTCAGCAAATTAAACAGGCTGTGCTGCATAAATAGAAAACTGTTATGGTTCAAAGTACTTCAAGAAAGACTTCTTTCCCTTTCTTATTTCTCAGAAAAACTTTAACTCACTCATTTCCTTTTCGGTCTGTGTTCCCACGCCAGTGTAGCTACTAATAAGCACTGATAGTCATTTTAGGTAGTTAAATATGACTACCATATTTACCAAATACCATACTTAGGGTCCCATTTAGACAAATACACTTTCCCTAAATGTCAGAGGAAGCCTGAAAATATTAAACCACTAACACATTTTGAAAAATGTTTTCTTAACATAAAATATTCAATTTTTTTCTTTTGTTCAACTAGAAGAATCTGCTGTTTTAGAAATATTTACTAAGAAGTATGGCTACTGTGCTTTCTCTCTCTATTGGTTGGACACTATATTGCTTTTGACAAAATTCTATTAATATTTACTACTCCTATAATATTTTTATATATAAACTATTTTTATAAATGTCAACCTAACTGGGTTTTTTGGGGGATTTGGTTTGATTTATTGTTTTTGAATAAATACATCATCTTTTCAAAAAAAATACATTTTAAATATGGCTCCAATTTACTAACTGGCTCTCTTATCCACCAAAACCTGGGCTAGCCTTGGCAGCAAGGTGATCACCTTTCAGAGGTAGCAGCTCATCTTCTAGGGACACATCCCTGGTCCTACTCCACTCATCTGGTGTTGTGTGATTTTGTTTGGGGGTTTATTATTTATTTTGGATCAACTGCTTGGCAGCATTGAAAATGTTTTCCACCATGAAGTGGAAGTGACCATACAGTCAGCCCTGCAGACACTAGTAAATTTATACACACAAATAGTCCCAGTTTGTGGGACACAGAAAGACAAATACTTCAGTTTTACTAAATTCACTCCCAAGTCTAGTCACACATTTATACTGGAATAAAATTCTCACAATGATTAATTCTAATATCTTATTTTTTCTCTCTTTTTAGAATCTGAATAGCTTTAAGAAGAAAACAAAACATCTTACTTTTCCTCAAGATAATTAAAATGTCCTCAAGCAATATTTCAAATTGCAGCATCTACCGTCAATTGGAACCATTTACCTATTTTTACTACTTAATTTTTCTCATTGGATTTATTGGGAGTTGTTTTGCCTTATGGGCATTCACTCAAAAGGATCAGAAACAAAAATGTATGAGCATCTATCTAATTAACCTCCTAACAACGGACTTCTTGTTGACTCTGGCATTGCCAGTTAAAATAATCGTTGACTTAGGTATTGCCCCCTGGAAACTGATGATATTCCACTGCCAAGTGACAGCTTGCCTCATCTATATTAACATGTACTTATCAATCATATTTTTGGGATTTGTAAGCATGGACCGCTGCCTCCAGTTAATGCACAGTTCTAAGATTTATCGAATCCAGGAACCTGGTTTTGCCAAGATGTTATCTGCAGTTGTATGGCTTATGGTTCTCCTTATAATGGTGCCTAACATGGTGATTCCAATCAGAGAAATAGAACAGAAGCCTACTGTGGGGTGTATTGAGTTCAAAACAAAGTTTGGAAAAGAATGGCATGTATTTACTAATTTTATATGTACCGCAATATTCCTGAATTTTTCAGCCATGATACTCATTTCCAATTTTGTTGTTCTTAGACAACTTTACCGAAACAAATACAGTGACAGTTATGCAAACTTTAAGAAAGCCCAGGTAAACATACTACTAATAACTATAGGCTACATCATGTGTTTTGTTCCTTACCACATCGTTCGGATCCCCTACACTTTGAGCCAGAGTGATGCTATAACTGACTGCCTTCTGAAACAATCCCTCTTTAAAGCAAAGGAATCCACCCTACTGTTTGCAGTGTCTAATCTTTGTTTTGATCCTATTTTGTATTTTTATCTTTCCAAGTCATTTAGACTAAAAATTACTGAAACATTTACTACACATAAAGAAACAAAGGCTCTCCCAGGAGAAGAAGATAATTGAGAAAAGGTGCATTATATACAAAAGTACTGTATATTTCTGCCTGTGTGTGCATATGTAGTATGTGCAACTGCTGCATATATGGCTAACAAGATCAATAAAATTTCTGTCAAACCCTAATTCTGTACAGAAGAAAACCTTAATGATGGAGCAGCATCACGTTAGTCTTTCAGTTTCTTTCACCAATCTGGAATATTATACAGTTCCAGAAGATGTGATAATAGTTCTAGGAATATTTTAATGCATTATGCTTACTTAAGAACATATGACCAGTCATACTAAAGGCCTAATCCTGAGGCAAGATCCAAACACGTTTCACAATGCAACTTATTGAAAATATTCAAACATATTTGATAAAGGTTTAGGGGTTGAGAATATCTGGACTCACCTTTACTACACGGTAATAATGTTAAATGCTTTCTACAATAGTTTTACCTGGTATAATAAAGGAAGAATATACTCAACAGCAACTGATAAGCTACAACAACTTTCCACAGCCATAATTAATCCAAATGCATTTCAAAGGGCACCACTTTCTCTAGAAAGTGATTTTAAACTGCACTGATTTAAAATGTTCTGTATCTGCCAATATCACCTCTGCAGTTGCTTACAAATAATTTTTTTCATGTTTTAATACCTTCTTTCCCATTTTGTGATGTTACTGAATATTAAAATTGTGGTAATACGTAAATTACCTGAGTAAACGTTGCAGATTAAAGAGGGTAGGTGAACAAACAACAAGTGAATAGACAAAATTTAAATACTCCATTTTTGTATGTTTGTTATTTTATGACATTTTAAAGAAAAAATACCACCAATAAACAAGCTATGTGATATTTATATACAAGACATTTAAAAAAATAAAGTATCTTAAACGCCCAATAAATCAAAGACAAATACAAGTTACTGCTAGTGGGGATTTGTTCTAATGGTAAAGCAAAAATACTTCAGAAATATAACAAACTGGACTGTCTTCATTTATTGACCTGCAAAAATGTATTCGTATTTTTACCAACAGTAAAGGAGCGCCCACAATAAATCTGGACAGATCGCTCATCCAACATCTAATAGCAAGAATTTAAGAGTAAGAAAAATTCAACTCTAAGCTTCTTATAATTTTTAAAGCAGAAGTGATTATTGGTGTTACACTGCATCCCACCTCGATCTGATAACTACAATAACTGATGCAATTTTGTTCTGTGTTCTAAAATTATCAGTTTTTCTTTGTTTGGGGTGAATGTAGGCTCAATCTCTTGGCTTATTCAGTACTTGGCCACTCTCCTGAAGCTGCCAGCAAGGGTATGTACTGGAACGGTGGCGTTTTCTGGGGCTTTAACACGATCTCCCTTCATTTCTGAAGAGCCTACAGTTAAAGGTCAAAACAAAACACAAAACAAAAAAAGACCCAAGGAAGAAAAACCTACCTTAAGTCTTCAAGCCACATACATTTCACCATTTTTCACCATTACTAAATCTCATACATTGATAATTTTTCTGTTTAATTTGTTTCATTTTCTGAGTGATAATTGACAGTAGAGGTGAGAAATAAGGGAATCAGAATCTATCAGGAAGTTACCCAGACAGTAGTCAACTAACTTTACAGAAAATGAATATTCTAGTGACTAACAGTATCCAACTTCCTATTCGGTCTAATTGTTTATTTGATCCATAAGCCATTTTAATGCAGTACAGCAGAGGTCACCAACCAGTAGATTGGGATCTACCAGTAGATCTTGAAGCCTCTGACAGGTGATCCTGACTAGTTTGTCTAGGAAGCTATCAAGCGCTGGGCACTTCAGTTGCCCCTTCACCCACTGTCATGCTGCTCCCGGTCTCTGCCTTAGAACTGTCTCTGAAATCTTCCTGCTTGCTGTGCTGTGTGTGGAAGGGAAAAGAGGCAGGGTGCTGATGTCAGAGTACCTCTCTCCCATTCCTGTACCCTATCTCCACGCAGAGAGAAGAGGATGGAGAGAGTTTGGCAATGCGAATCTCTGTCACTCTCACTGTGTGTGTGTCTGTCATTCTCACAAACACACACTGTCCTTCACTCTCACCTCACGACCCATGAGTAGCATGGGATGAAGTGAGCAGGGTTGAGTAGCAGTGGGGCCTCAAGAAAAGGGGAGGGAAGGAAGTGGGGCAAGATCTTACATTACACTTAAACTGAAAAAAGTGATCTTGTGGTTAAGAATGTTGGCGATTGTTGGCCATCACCGCAGTACAGGTTGGACCTTCCTGGTCCAGCACCCTTGGGACCTGACTGGTCCCAGTTGAGGGATTTTGCTGGACCAGAAGAGGTCATTTCTGCCCCTCCCTCCAGCAGGCAGCCCAGCCCAATGTACTATTGTACCATGGATGCTGCCAGGCCAAAGAGTCCCAGTTTACAGAGGTTCAACCTGTATTAATTTGCTTCCTCTAGCATAACACCCTATGTTATAAGAAGATATATTGCCTATGCATATATCTATACCTAAACAGCAAAACAGCCACATGAAAGGCTTGTTAAAATATGAAACACTTAAAACAACAAAGAAGATCCTTGATGCATCTTGCACGATCCTCAGCTCTAAATATGCTCAGTATTCAGACACAGTAATCCAATGCATTGCACAACAGGATTAAAAATAAAATTAGTGTAACAGCAGCTGTAAAAAAAAAATAAAATTAGTGTAACAGCAGCTGTAATGGCAATCCGGGAGGAGATAAAAAAACTACACTGCACCAGCAAATTGTGGTTTCTGTCCAGCCAAGACCCTCACAAACAAACCAAAGTTCTCCAAACAAACCAAATGACCGAATGAGGTGAGGAACACAAGGAATTTCATTCTCAATGCAGGAGCACATATTTTGTTCATCTAAATCCCCTGGGTGGTTAATTATGAAGCTCTAGCCAAAAAATAATCTATTATATAAAACCTAATATTTAAATACACATTTTCCAAAATTTCAAGTATATATTATCATCATCATCCAGAAGAAACCAGATAACTTTTTTTAAATGACCCAGTACAGGAAGAAGCCTTAAGAACATCTCATCCTCCGAGTAGTTTTATTCTTTTATCTCCGTGCTTTACCATCATCAATCTATACATTTACACAGAAAATTAAAATGTAAGGAGTTAACTTACCTGAGGGATGGGGAAGTGTGTTGCATATTGCAAGTGGCGAAGGAGGTCGTAACTGGATGGAAAAATCAGTTCTCTCAATTTTTCTCTCTTCACCGACATCTCACTGTTAATTGAAATTCTTCTGTCTAAAGAAGAGTTCACATTCTCACAAGGTTCCCCAGGCATTGGAGAAAAAATCTAAGCCATGTAAAAGAAATGTTTAAGATTACTGTAAACTGAAACATTCACTGTCCAACCACTGCACAATAGGTTTGATTTTGCTCCTGTTTATACTCATCTTATACAAGCAGAACTTTCTGATCTCAGTGGAGATGCTCAGGATTTAAACCATCATGAAATTAGACAATCAGGCTCCACATTTAAAAAAATACACTGTAGAAATACTTGGGGTCATGTTGTGTAGTGTGTTTATTTACAGACTAACAGTGCTTTGCTATGCTGGAGATGACTGAGGGGCAAGTGTGGAAATCAGTGAGAGTGCTGCAATGCAGAAATGAAGGGATGCTGTAACAGGTCAGTATATGGAGGTTACAATGTAATACCCTATACCTGTAACAGTACAAGGATTGGAAATGAAAGAATATTAGTCATATGACAAAAATAAGATGGTTCGACTTCAGGATCATTGAGAACATATTTTTGTGCAAATAGCAAGCAAGGGGCAAAGAAATGCATGATGTGCAGAAAAATAAAAAATTAAACCTACTGGAAACTCCGAACCAAAATCTGTCTTAAAGTCATTCTTGTCTACGTCATCAAAAATGTTAGTGGTTCCTGATTCAATGCCCATATGTTCCATAATACTATGTTCCTAATAATCACCAGAGAGAGAAACAAACACCAGTCAGATTACAATGAAAACTCTGTGTTTGGTCATAAAGTCAAAAATTCCATCCATTTGAAAATTAAGAAATACTTGTACAGGCAGTCCCCGAGTTACGCGGATCCGACTTACGTCGGATCCGCAGTTACGAACGGGGCTTTTCTCGCCCCGGAGGACGGGAGCGGCGGGACGCCCAGATGCACTGCGGTCCGCCACCCCCGTCCTCCGGGGAGAGAAAAGCTGCTCCCCGTCTCCCTGGTCTGCAGGGAGATGGGGAGCAAAGCCTTGGAGCACGCCCGCAGCGGGACA